CTCCCTCCCCTGCCCGGTCCCTTCCATCTCCGGCACACACACACACACCCGCACGCACACACACACACACCCCATTGATCAATATTTGGCTGTCTTGCTGCAACTTGCTGCAGTCTTTTAAAGGAGTAGTAGAGAGAGAGGGAGAGAGAAAGGGAAACTGGCAGGAAGGGGTAAGGAGCTACACATGTCACATGTGCTTTCTAAGACGGCCAGGAGCATCTGCAGGCTGGATCTGGTGGAGGATGCTGCGGCAGGTGATACACAGAGGGCTCCAGTCGTTTTTCTACAAGCTGGGCTTATTCGTGAGCAGGCATCCGGTGTTTTTCCTCACTGTGCCCGCAGTCCTGACCATCATCTTCGGCTTCAGCCTGCTCAGCCGCTTCCAGCCTGACACTGACCTGGAGAGCCTGGTAGCCCCCAGCCACAGCCTGGCCAAGATCGAGAGGAGCTTAGCCAGCAGCCTTTTCTCCCTCGATCAATCCAAAAGCCAGCTGTATTCGGACTTGCACACCCCGGGGAGGTATGGCAGGGTGATTCTCCTCTCCAAACCCGGAGGCAATATTTTGCATCAGGCTGATGTGATCCTGCAGATCCACCGAGCCGTGCTGGAAATGAAGGTGAACTACAAAGGCTATAATTATACTTTTTCCCATCTGTGTGTGTTGAGAAATCAGGATAAGAAATGCGTGCTGGATGATATTATTTCAGTGCTAGAGGATCTGAGGCAGGCTGCCCTCTCCAATAAGACAACAGCCAGGGTGCAAGTGAGCTATCCCAACACTAAATTAAAGGTATGCTCTTACTGCATGCTTTTGCCAATTAAAGAGGCAGCACTTCATTTCTTGTCCTAAACAGCAAAGAGAAATATAATCATATCTATCTCTCTCTGTCGAAATGTGTGTGATCTGGGCTTTCCTCGTGAAGCAGCTGAATCCTGGTGCCTTGCTTTTGTTCTGGGCGAGGAGGGAGGGAGGGGAACTGGACGCTGCCGGAGCAGAAGAAGGGAGCGGAGAAGAGCCTGAGCACCGGGAGACCTTGCAATGCCTTGAAGGTTCAATACATGGGGGGAAAGGGACAGGAGGTCGGTGGGGGGTTGAGAGCTGGTTTGCACTATCACCCTTTCCAGCCTCGCTGCTGTGGTGGGATAATTTGTCTTTGATGTGGCCAGAAAAAGCTTTCCTCAAAGGCACAGTGAGGTCCTGTGTCTCCCTGCCCCTGCCAGTGCCGTAGGAGCAGCAGGAGGTTTGGGCCAGAAGCAATTTCAGGTGTCCTGCCTTCTTTACCTGCATGCAAAGAAGGTGAAGGGAAGTGGGATTTTTTTTTTTTTTTTCTCTCAGTGTAAAAATTATTAACTCTGTCGCTGATGGATGGGCTGGAGTTTTGGGATGGATCCCACCAGATAGAGGTTTCCAGCAAAGTTGAAACAAGGTAAAAGGTGAAAGAAGTTTCAGTCCTCTCAATTAAAAGAATAAACAATTTGGCACAAATTATCTCAGGACTATTTCCCTGGCACACAAGCACCCATCTGCTTTCCCTCCCATCTGGAGCAATTCTGCTCACCAGGACTAACCTACTGTGAGTAAATAAGGGTACAAAGTTTGCAGCTAGCTCATGAAAGAAGTTTTTGTGTACTACAGTATATCTGCATGGTCCCCTGGGCATTGCAGCAGAGGCAGGATTTATTTAACAGAGTGTAACAAACTCCCTAAGACACTATTTAGTCATGGCTCAGGTCATAGGGGAGGGAATATGCTCCTTCTTGTAAACCAGAGATCTCTGGGGTTACCTCTCCCCCTTTTTCAAAGAGTTCCTCGGGGTAAGGGACATGCTCTTTGAAGTATCAGCACTAAGATCCTGCAGTTATAATTTGTTTCTTACTGTACATTTACCAGAAAAAGATCCCTTAAAGTCAGTCCCTGTTCTGAAATCTGAAGCAGAGACATAGATTGATTTTATTTGATTGTCTTTTTTCTTCAGTAAAAGTGCCAGGTGGAACAGCTTGGATTTGGTCCTGTGGCTGTAGATGTTACAGTAATTGCTTTGTACAGAGTTGTGGCTGCCTGAGTTGAGTGTGTGGAAATGTAAAAGTGTCCTTGCTACTGCTAGAAAGTCCTGAGTGCAAGGAGTGCACAGAAAAACAAGTTATTCTGGATTAAATATCCCCAAACAATTTTTATCTTCTAGTGTACTGCAAAGACAATCCCGCTATTGCAGAATTAAAGTGTATCCTTTAGATTTTGCTTATATTTAGAATTAAAATTAAGGTAGTTCAGTGGACAGCACTGACAATCTAGACTAAAGGGTGTTATAAACCAGCTTTATACAGGAATATTCACCCTATTCTCTCAATCCAGGTTAATTTTCTTCTCTAGACAAACCCTAACTGATTTTATTAGAACTAGGATGTGGTCATTTTCAATGTGTTTTTTCATTAGAAGATTGTTTACAGCTCCTTCTGCTTTTAAAGATAAAAACAAAGGAAAAGACAATATAATCTGGATTAGCCATTTATTGGATTGCCAGATGATTCACACAAGAGAGAAAGGTTTTCCTAAAGCATAGGAGTCTAACACTGAGCAATGCCAAACACCTTCCCAGCCCCTCCAATCCCCCAGGGAGTTGTTTCATCTTCTGGGTGAGGGAATAAACACCCTTAAGTAACTCAGTTTAAATCTGGACAGAGGAGAGAGCCCTCTCCTCAGTGAAAGAAGTTAAAGCTGCCAAAGCCTGTGACTGCACTTCAGAGAAAAGCCAGCAATTAAACCCATTTCTAGGAGTGGGTAGGGAGAGTTCCTGCTTTTACTGAGAAAGAGAAACACACTTTGCCACAATTTTCCTTCTTCTTATATGGTAAGGACTCTACCATGGAGCTGTGGTAAGACCTGAACCTGGGCTGGTCTTCAGCAATGGTGTGTCTGCACAGACTCACCTCTGGTCTCTTTGGCTCCAGCTACTGGGATTAAATTACTGTTTTGTATAAATTAATTCACTAGTTTATCTCTGTCATCTCTGTTGTCCCATCTACCAAGGGTTAAGAAGTTGTGGGCAACATCTCTTGATCTCCTTCAAACCATGGGCAAAATCTTGGTTTAATCCCTACAGTAAAAAGCTGCTTACTGACCTCCCTGCCTTTACACCTCTGAGCAAAGGCTGTGAAAACTCACACCTGTATTTCTTGTTTTGAAGTGTCTCATTGTATTTAACCAGAAACATCTGGGATGATGCACCCACTTGAGTAGATGAGTTTTGTGATGTTTGGCGAAGGGAAACAATTCCTGTTTCTGTATCTGTGAGGTTTTGTGTTTCTTCAATACTTGATTTGTGACATTAAGGAAAAGTTGTGGCTAAACCTCATGGGACTGCAAACAAGAAGGTCAAATCTACCTGCTCTTATTCAGTGTGGGCCAGTGCTCATCTCATTCACTGGTCCATGCTCTTGGGATTCTTCTCAGCTAAACATTCCTGTACCATTAGGACCCACCAGGATCTTCTAGGTTGTCTTGCTTGGCTAATACTGGTAGGTTTTGCTGTTTTTTTCTTTTAAATAATGGCCTCAAATTGAACAAAATTATTCTAAAAACAAAATGGGGGTTTACAAGCCATGAAGGTGCCCCATATGGGGAATGAGCTGACATGGGTCAAGTGTCAAACTGTGCTGGTCTGGGAATCACAACAGCAGTGTTGAGCTGTTCCACTCCTGCTCCATCTGGGAGCTGCAAAAACATCTTTAGTATTTTATTTCCCTCAAGCCTTGTGAGAAGCTTTCACTTTGTCTCCCTTCTCATCTCCTGATGGAGGCCAAATCAGTTTAAACCTCTCAGGTGAGGCTGGCTGAAGGCTGACAGGGGGTGAGCTCTTGGCAGGTTTCCCACAGGAACTTTGTGGGAACCACTCAAGCAGGCTTCAGCAGGCTGCTCCAGTTTTGAAGCAGCTGTTATTGGGCTGCAAAATCTGATGAAACTGCTTGGATTTTCCTTCACTCACATTCAGAGCACAGACTGCAGGGTAGTTTAAAAAGTCTGATATGGGTTTAAAATCTACTCTGGCTGCTCAGGGGTGATTGTAGGGAAGTGCATGTGAACCAGGCTGAAGGAAAATGCCAGCTCCCATTGCTCTGGGGACACAGTAGTTCATGGCAATTGGCAGCCCAGCCAGAGAGTGACTTGCCCAAGGTCATGCAGATTGACCGTGGCAGAGCAGGAAAACAAAGCTGGCTATATGAAGTCTTGATGAAGACTTTCAAGATATTTCCTGGAGAAACATTGCTCATGTTTTCCTCAGTTCAGGACATAACAAAATTGTTCCTGTTTTTGGGGTCTGGACTGTGCCTTAACTTGCACAGTCTGGGCAAATCTACACTGAGCACTCACCATCAGTCATCAAACTGTTAAATCTCAAGTTTTGGCAAAAATCAGCACTGTTTTTGTCAGCTGAGACTTCCAGAACTGTGACTGGGCATGACTTGGGAGACTCTTGGGAAAGAATCTTCTCTGGGCTGGTAAATCCACTTCATCCTTGCAATAATGGTGTGTGTTGTTCTTAGAAGTGAGTGCATTGTGCCCCTGCCTCCAAGGCCAGAATGTGGTCTGAGGCACAGTTTATTTGTTGGTATAAACAGAATTATTGATTACGTGACGATTACTTCTTGTGTACCGTGAAATATGAGGGAAGAGATTGCTTTTTGACCCCGATTCGCCCATAACCACAGAAAATTTGCTGTCCTATTCCAGAAAAAAAACCAAAAACAAACCCACAAAAATAATGAAAATTATTTCTGAATGCAGTCTTTATATGGAAGTGGGGGGAGGCATAAAAATATTTTTTCAGGTATTTCATCTTTACTCTTTCTTTGTAACTTTTTGTGTTTATTTGCTAGTTTGTCTGAGAAAAGATAATAACTGAGAATTTGTCTGTCTGAGATCAAAATAAATATGACAACTGCTGGTTTAAAGGAACCTTTGTCAGCAGATTGGTTCCTGTAATACTGCCTTCAATTAATTAAATATCAGTCATTTATGAACACTAGGCGAAATAGCAGCCAATAAACCAGAAATCTCTATTACCACATTTGTGATAAACACATCAGCTGGATATTGAATCTGTTCTTGCTTAAGCTGAAGCCGTTACTTGTATTCACTTAACATCTTGAAACCTCTAATTGAAGTTTTGCTACTGGCCAGATTCTCAATTTTTCTCACATTAACAGCTGTACTTTTAAATGAGTCTTGCTCTATTTGCATTTGTGGAGTCTTTCTGACTGCTGTAAGATTAATCCCTCCTTCGATATCCCTGAGGGAGACACCGGAGAGAAGATATGAAACCAGAGCCCATCAACATCAGTGTGGGCATCTATGCACCAGTGATACCCACAAACTGATTATTCCTTCAGTAAAATCAGAGTGTGAGATTGCCCCAACTCCAGCGAGCAGATCCTTCCTAAGAGGCAGTGTGGCTCTGCACCCATTTGTGATACCACCTGTCCCAATCCAAGCACGTGGCTCAGGATTCTGTGAAGTGCTCTGTGGCTGGAAAAAGCTCAAGCAAGTCAAAGCAAAATAATAAAACGTGCAGGGAGAAGATCAGAGGACAGGGGCTGGAGGCTGCTGATAGTTTTCATCTCAGCCTCGCAGATGAAGACAGGATGGGGCAGGCTGAGCTCAGAATAGCTGCTCAGTAGCATGAAAGCGAGTGGAAAATATTTGAAGCCTAGGAGCATCTTCTGGCTCAGATATTGGGAAACAAATTTGGGGGAAAAAAGACACTTGTACTCTTCCAGCTGTGTTTCTGTGCT